ATCGAACACATAATGTCATTACCCAATTCATTAAGTATGTCGACCCAGCTTGGATCTAACCCAAAGAATCAAAGCAACAACGATTATGTGCACATGCATATTTAATATCTTACGGGTTAAGAGCACGCAATAATTAACTGAGGCCTAGTTCGTTTACGACGATCAGTATAAAACGAACATCCCTCTCTGGGATCCTGTTCAATACATAAATGTACTAGTGCAACTAATCGGTCAAGACAAACCGTATGGTTGACACTACAACCGTTCCGATGGGTTGTTCAATTCCATCTAGGTTGTGAACCAATGATTCTTGTTTCGCAAGTAACTGGTATAGTGATCTTCGTTACGCCCGATGACGACTCACTTATCTACATGCAAAACAACAGAACATGGAACTTATTTAACCAAACATAATTCTCATTCATCAAGAAATAACAAGTGTAATATCCACTAAAGCAAAGCTTAAGTATATAACACCAACACATAGAACATAAAGCGGAAGAAAAATAACATTTGACCGGCCACTCGTCCTTTCCTCGTCCTACTCGCAACCTGCTAAACCTGGGGAAGAAAAGTGGGGATGAGCACAATATGGAACCCGTGGTACTCACCACTATGCACGTAAATAACAATATATAATGTAAAGAGGGTATGGTCGCAACATGTACATAAATCAATCAATTATGTCTCCTCTTTAATTCATAGCATACCAAACCACATTACTCTTGTGTACACATCTATCATTAGTTACTGCTGGTCTATTCGAAAGCACGCCATGTGTCTTACATCGTCATCCAACAGTAAGAGTACATGTCGAAGGCACGCCATGTGTCATACATTGACATACATATCGAAGGCACGCCATGTGTCTTACAACGATATGGTCCGCTATGGGTCTTAGGGAGACTGCCTCACAAGGGCACCTTATTACATCGACGGGGACAACCGTACCGACGACCGTAATGGCTCACATCGATAGGCTACATGGTTCACATGCATACATTGATCATACCAATCCAACAAAACATAAACAACTTACGGCATAACATTTAAATAAACCCACGTGGATAAAAGTATGAGATAACACAATATTCACGTGTAGGTAGAGAGCTCGACTCGTCAAACACCTACAATAATCATGATAGTCCTATCAATAACTATCCCAACACATAGAAACACTTACACTAACATTCACTTAGCTGAAACCGTATCGACTAAGTGATTCGTGGAATTCCTAATGGAGGTTGGAACCTTTGGCTCAACTGTCTAGACTCGATAAACCAATTAAACATCACTTCGAACACATATAGCATGAAAAACATAGTGATGGTTCAAAAAAAGTCAAACGGGTCAGAAAATAGCCAAAACAGGGCTTGGTTAGGTGCTGACGGGACTGCTGGCCCATGCTGGGGCTGGCAGGTGCTGGAAAACAGCTAGAAAAAGTATCTACCGGATCTTTTAAAATGCACTCGTGCGTTTTCAATGAAACTTTTACACAACATAATTTACTTAAAAATACACAAGTATACACAAGTATACCAGAAGATCAAAGATCTTACTGACACCCTAGACGTTAGCTTCTCCCACATTTTCCGAGAGGGGAACAATGCAGCCGAATACCTCGCAGGTTCTGTCTGTCGAGCCCGAGACTTTATGCAGTATGACGTTGCAGATCTACCGAGGCCCCTTAGGGGTATCATCAGGGTGGATTTAGAGCTCCCCTCCATCAGGCGTCCACATGCAGACAGCAGACCACATGGTTGACCCCTCGTGCAGGAGGACCTAACTTTTTGTAGAGTGGATCGGGCTTTGTAGGGGATTAGCCCCCCCC